AGAAGTAGACTGGTACATTTTTCTCCCATGGAATGACTGGTGGGTTTGAACTGCTTACCTTTCTGTTGATAGCAGCGTGCTTAATGACCACGCTACTGAGGCTCGTATACGTACACATATATGTCTTTATGGTCATAAAGGCTTAGTAGCAACAGTACATTCTGTAAAATAAGATGTTAAGCGATATAGATGTTGTGTGACCAACATATTAAATACAGTCCCTGAGAACCAAGCCCCATAGAGCCTGTTCTGTGAAAACCTTAGATAATAGATTTGATAAGCTTGAGAGCACAGCCACATGGGAGGAAGGGGTGTGCCCCTGGGAGGGGAGGCATGAATAAGTGATCTCAGTGGTACTGGCCAGAGGGATGTGCAGGTGCTTAGGGTGTGGCTGGTGGTGGCAACTCTGACTGCTGCTGCCCAGTTGGTGTGGCCATTTCCGGGTCATGTACAGATGTTGTCGCCTCCCAGGGCTGGACTGAAAGCCAGTGAGCACTCTGGGCCTAGCTAGCACGAGGGCATGAGCAGAGGAGACCCAGCAGATTTTGCCCTGTGCCAGCATTAGCCAGCTAGTCAGTTGCTGGGAGGGAGTGGTGACACACCGCTGGTTCACTTTGCTGGCTGGGGGTATTTAAAACCATTGTGGAGAAGGAGCAAACAAAAGGAATGTGCTTTCACTTGGAAAACAAAGGGAAACACCCATGGGGTCACAGGTGTGTACACAGTTTGACATTTCCTCATGGGTGTTCTGTAGTGCACGACTATATGCATGTGGATATGAGGGTGAGTCAAAAATTTCTACTACAAAATCAGAGAAACCTTGGTTCAACCGAAATGTCAAAATAGGAAGCTATTGTTTCCATCTAACCCTTTGCTGAAGAATTTTACACTCTTAACATTACACAAGGTCAAAGCAGACTCAAATCTTGTTCTTTTGAAATGTTCTTTGAACTTGAGGAATAAAAAGAAGTCGGAAGGGGCAAGATCAGGACTGTAGGGAGGATGGAATATGGTTACCCAAGGGTGTTCTCAGAACAGCCCTGGCTAACCTGGAAGAATGAGCAGGGCATTGTGGTGGTGGAAAATAGTTCCTTGGCGCAAACAACTTCCTTGGCTTTTTTTCTCACCAATTGAATTTGCCGTATCCAAACTTAGATTTATAATAAACTTCCTGATCATCCAGTGTTCTTTGAGGAAAAAATCTATCAAGATTACGGAGAAAACTTGCCTGCATCTTTCCGTTAATCAAAGAAGCATCTTTAAAGACAAGTTTGTTTAGAGGAGACCCATGTATGTATGACTGGAAACCTAGTACTAGTACTTTTTTCCTTAACTTTTATATTGTATATTAGGTTAAGGTTTACAGAGCAGAGCACCATCTTAGATTCAACACACTTCATTTCAATCTGCAAACCACTATTTACCCCACTTCCTCCCTGTGCTTTCCGTTTCCGTCCGTCCTCCTTTCCTAACCCTCTGAACCTTGTCTTTGGGGAGATGCTGCCCTTCTGATCTTCAGTGGTTGGTTATTCTACCACAGGGGTGAAGAGTTCCCGTCCAGACCTAAAAGGTGACTAAAGGCTATAGTCTTTGGCATCCTACCAGTCTCTCTCATACCAGTAAGGCTGGTCTCTATGGTTTTAAGGTTTTTCTCCCACTCTATCAAAAACCACCTAATGTGATCCTTTTAGAGCTGTTGCTATTGGTAGCTGAGCACCCCCTAGTTCTCCTGTTCTCAGAGTTGTTGAAACTGGTGTTAATACCTTTTTACTTAGTCTCACACACAAACACACCATCCCAATGCTGAGTTCATAGTGATACCTCCAAATCCATTCTACAGAATGTAGTTCTCTACCTTCCAGAATTGTATTCCTAAAAAAAAAGGGGGAAACCTTCATTAATCACTTTTGAGGGGCGTTATTTTGGAAACTAAAGAGGAAGATTCAAACGTACATCTTGGTTCTGCAATATGAACTGTATATGAGGGTAACCAGAAATTGATTAAAGGAATTATAACCCCTAGTAAAGTAATGGATGTAGGCAATGATCATCAATTCAAAAAGAGAGACAAGTAGACATCATGTATGCCTCTTGGTAGATATAGAAACACCACCTGTGATGTCCTTCTGTCAAAAATGGAACCTTCATATATCTGACCAAGGCTCAGGGTCTCATCCCAGCTTACAAGAAATAGAGGAAGCTTTTCGGTGACACAGCAGGAAGGCAGTCAGCAAATGTGGAATGTGGAAAACTGGGACAGAGACTTGGCTACTTCATCAAATAAAGTACTCAAAATAAAAAAAACCTCGAATCAGAAAAAAGAACAAACTTTATTGGTCACGTAGAGACTGGTGGAACCCCTAAGATTGTGACCTGAAGTCACCCTTCAGTTCTGGAACTGAACACCCTCCATGGCTCCAGTTTCAGTTAAATAGTAGGCAGGTCTGTATAGGGAACAACAGCACTGTTGAGGTATGCATGCCTACAAGTAACTACTGGAGATCAAAAGAGTACCAATTGCCTAATAACAGAGTTCAGAAGGGTGAGAAAAAAGAAGGAATCGATATAAGAAACACAAGGATGGTGTGGAAGAAGGGAGATTCCCTTGTGAGGACTAGAGTCAGTGAGATGAAACATAATGCTTAGGAATTGTCAAATGGAAAATGGACCTGCTCTGTGAACAATACGTGTTTTTGAAAGTTAAGAGCAAGGAGTTAATGAAAATGAGGGATGGGGACACACCATCACCACCCCTTCCTCTGGCTTCCCTATTGCCATGAGGCAGGGGTCAGGCATATCTCCTCGTTTACCAGTCTGACACCAACCGTTCCTCTATGCCACTCTGTTTTCTATGTTGGATTCAATAATTTGTTGCACTGGCCACACAGAACTCCCAGGCCACACTCAAGATTAAGGGGCTCTATTAGGGGAGCAAGCAGGGTACCACAAGTCAGGATCAGTAAGCAGTAAGGATACAGTAATAGCCAGCAACCAAATCTCTCTCTGATCCTCAGCTTTTCAGTCATGTAGTCCCTTGGCCACTGCCTCTGTGGACCAGACAGACTGCCCGTTTCTCTGCCACACAGGTCCTCGGTTCTGTCTTATGGTATCCTTGTCTCGGCTACTGGTCCCGACCTTTCTTCTTTCTTTACTCTGACTCTTAGTCTCTGTGCCACCGTCTCTGGTGCCTTTGGTCTCAACATGTACCACTTTAGACAGACCTCCAATGTGCTCTTACTTCGGTGGTCCCAGGATGGATCTGTCTGACCCAGATGGCTCTTAAACACAAAGGAAAAGTTTTAATGGAGGTGTGGGAGCTTTCTTTTAGAACTATACCACACAAAAACACAAAGGGTTTGGCTTGGTTCACATCCTCTGCTAAGATCAGGACTTTCAAAAAAACTCACTGCCATCTAATTGATTCTGACTGATAGTGACCCTCTAAGACAGGGTAGAACTGCCCCTGTTGAGTCTCCTAGACTTAAGTCTTTATGGGAGTAAAAAGACCTGTCTTCCTCCTGAGGAGCAACTGGTGGCTTTGAACTGCTGATCTTGTGGTTAGCAGCCCAAAGTGTAACCACTATGCACCAGGATTCCCCCAAGGTCAGGTCAGAATGTAATCCATCCTTAATCCTGTACATTTGTGTTAGGCCAGGTTGACTAGAGTGTTTTTATATCGAGAGGCCATTATTTATCCAGGAAACATTCCAGCCCAGTCCATATCAAGTTCCTATGTCCCATATTAGTCCCTAAGCCCGGTACTAGTCCGTAAGTCCATCTTCAGACTCACAAAGCCACCTGCAATGATGAAGAATGCTGGGACATCAGACACATCTCCAGGACTCTGGCAGCTTCCAGTGTATCTTGCCAGCAAGGTGAAGGTGGAGAGAGTCCTGGAGATGTGTTTGTGATGTTCCAGCCCTCTCCTATCATGATCCCACTTCTACCTTACAAATCCGGCTAGACCAGAGGCTATACATTGGTATGGATCAGAGGTAGAAACAAAGGGAATCCAGGACAAATTAACCCCTCAGGATCAATAATGAGAGTATCGATACCAGGAGGGGAAAAGGAAGGTGGGGTAGAAAGGGGGAACTGGTCACAAGGATCTACATATAACTCCCTCCCTGGGGGACAGACAACAGAAAAGTGGGTGAAGGGAGATGTCGAACAGTGTAAGATAGGGGTCCTCAAACTTTTTAAACAGGGCCAGTTCACTGTCCCTCAGACCCGTTGGAGGGCCAGACTGTAGTTTAAAAAAAACAACCAACAAATTCCTATGCACACTGCACATATCTTATTTTGAAGTAAAAAAACAAACGGGGCAAAAACACCCGGCGGGACAGATAAATGTCTTCGTTGGGCAGCATGTGGCCCACGGGCTGTAGTTTGAGGACGCCTGGTGTAAGACATGACAAAATAATAATTTATAAATTATCAAGGGTTTGTGAGGAAGGGGAAAGAATGAGCTGATACCAAGGGCTCAAGTAGAAAGCAAATGTTTTAAGAAGGATGACAACAAATGTGCTTGACACAATGGATGTATGTATAGATTGTGATAAGAGTTGTGCGAGCCCCCAATAAAATGATTTTTTTTTTTTTTTAAAGAAAGAAAGCATGCTGCCAGCTCTGAGATATTTCTTTGGAGTAAGGCAGCCTCACAAGGTGTGTGCACCAGACACAAGCCTGGGCGGTCAGGGAACCGCATCTTCTCGCTGCATTATCTAGCACCTTTTGCATTTCAGGGTCCACAGTTGGCACTCAGTTTGGAACTGGTGTTTTTAAAATTAAAAAATAAAGGAGTAGCCCTGAATCAGTGTATATTTTATTGTTATCCTGTCCTGAAATTAGCCCAGCCCCACCCACACCCCAGCTCCAGTCTATGAGAGCTGGCCAGCCATTGCTGAGACCACCTGGTGTTTGAGTGTTTCTCTGTTCCCAAGGCCTCCACTATTGTTGGTGTTGCTGTGACATGTGTTATAACCCTCCTCCTTTCTCAGGCTCAGGCCCGATGTCACCGGATAGGCCAGAGCAAAGCTGTAAAAGTGTACCGCTTGATTACTCGGAACTCTTACGAGCGGGAAATGTTTGACAAGGCCAGCCTGAAGTTGGGTCTGGACAAGGCTGTTCTTCAGGACATCAACAGAAAGGGCAGCACCAACGGCGTAAGTATGATGCCACCTGGTCTGGAGCCTCCAGGAGCATTTGTCACACTGCCTGCGTCTCTCTGGGCTTCTGCGCTCTTCAGCTGTTCTTGAGATTCACTTACATTAGATCGAGCCAGCTCACACATATCCCCAAAGAGAGTATTTGAGGTCAGGTCTGTGCAGTTTATCAGTGACTACTTAGAATTTATCCATAGGAGCAGTGATAGGGTAGAATTCTCCAGTATGCAAGAACCTTTTAGTAAATAAGAATGTTCACAGTACCCTTTAGAAGCCAGCAGATCTTGCCTTACAACTCTGCTAATGCACATTTGTTACCATGCCTTATCTCTTACACCACACGTTGAGCTCCTTGGGGGTACAGTGGGATCTCTTTTTATCTCTGAATGTCTTGTGGCCCCTGACAGCATTTGGCATATTGAAGGATTTCAGGGCATATTGTTCAGTGAATAAATGAATGAATGAATTTATGGCTTGAAATGTGGCAATTAATAAAATATCTCACCCCTCCCCACCCTGGGGGAAGGACAGGCCAGAAAAATTGCAACTCAGATTCTCTTGAAGTGAAGGCAAGCAAAGCCGAATAGCTCCTTAATCCCTTGGATCAGGGCATCAAAGATAGGAAAGTAAGGCCTTCTGAACGGATTGTCTTTAGTCCAGATGGTCTATGTCCTGTTAGCTTTGGGTATGTTGCTGAGTAGAATTCTTCACTTTGCCAGTTCTGGGAGTCACGGTATTCCCTCTTATGATTGCTATAAGGAGAACCAGATTCTTAATGAGAACCAGGGAAGGGTGTTTTGAACCTCATTTCCTGCTTTCAACAAGCAGTTGAGGAGATCACACTTGGCCCAGGATGTTTTGTTTTTTAAGAAATGACATCATTTCCAATACTAATGTACTTAATAATCATTATTCTTCAGTTTGGTACATCTGGAGGCTTTTAAAGATGCAGACTCAAACTAAAACATGGGAAAGTCAAATATGCCCTCTTTAATGACATGTGACATTGGATAATAAGCAACATCCCATAGAATGTTAGGGGCACTGGGTTATATGCTGGGTTTTCTTCCAGAGCACTCTCTAGAAGATTGGCTGCTTACCCTCTCATGGTTCTTGAATGTCTTCACCAGGGATGTCATCTTCTGTGTCCTTTAGTCTTTGGACATGTAGTTAATGGCAGAGCTCTGTGCTAATCATAAAGGTCAGGTTTGAGACTTTTTCTCCTGTGCATTTTCCACTTGGTGAGTAGCCTTTGGTGGTGACCTGTCTAGGTACAACAGCTCTCAAAAATAGAGGTGGAGGACTTGCTTCGGAAAGGTGCTTATGGAGCCTTGATGGATGAGGAAGATGAAGGCTCTAAGTTCTGTGAAGAAGACATTGACCAGATTCTGCAGAGGAGAACCCATACCATCACCATCCAGTCTGAAGGGAAAGGATCCACTTTTGCCAAGGTACAAAAGCTTCTCGCCAGAGCCGCCTTTATTGGGCCAGGAGTTGTCAGGTTGTCTGGTGAAACAAAATCAGTGGCATCACGTATGTATAGGAAAGAACTTAATATCGAGAAAAATTTCATATATCAAGAAGCTATCTCAACCCCTCTACCTTAAGTTCATGTGTTGAGTCCACTGCAAGTGAGGCTCTCTTCAGACGCAACATAGCCACAAGCCACTAAAGCAGAAAGCTGAAGTGGGATGCAGGAAGATCACACAGGCTGGTGGGTGCACAGTCGTGTTGATCGGTGGAAACATGCAAGGTGCCCACAGCTTTTAGGGTTAGGCAGCCCCCGTGAGTCTCCCCCTGGAGGCAGCAGAAACTCAGCAAGCAGGAAGGTGGTGGGGGTGGGGAGAGAGTTCCCTCTGTGTTACCACGCTTATACAAAAAATGTTATATGACACCAAGAAGGTGTCATCACACTGTGACCCAATTGATAGGTTGGGCCCGCCCCTACCCTTACCAGGAGTGTCTAGTTGACATAACCCCTAACCATTACAGGATGAGTGAGAAAAGAAAATGGTTTCGTTGACTTTGTTTGTCTAAGCCTATGCCATTGAAGTTATCTGGCCCCCATTAGTCTACATGACAATCTGAAGATGCAGGTCCTTAGGTGGATTCTGGTAATAATCAAAAGTTATATAGAGAAAAAGGGGCTTTCTCTTCCCATGCACAATTCAGTCGCAGAAACTCGAAGGGGCAGTCCTACCCTGCCCTATAGGATCACTGAGTCCATATTGACTTCATGGCATTAAGTATAAAAAGTAGGGGGCACGATGAACACTTTTGTTTGCAGTTCGCAATATTCACTGTTCTCAAAGATGACTCTGAAACATGTGAGTTCTATATCAGTCCCTTGAGTAGCATCAAAGAGTTCAAAGTCCAGTGGGCAATCTATTCTTCCAACTAAGCATGTTCGTTTTGTAGGAAAGGAGATGTCATTCAAGATCCCAGTTGCTGCTATAGTGGCCTCTTGCCTTGGCAGTTCAACTGACTGACTGTGGAATTAATCAGGCCACCTGTCAGATTGCTCTCAGGTTCCCCTGCTCATAGACTCTGCCCATTTGCACATTGACTGCATGACCTCTTTGCTTCCATTTTCTGTTTGGTGCCCCGTGTAGAATGCCCCTCAGCAGTGGCTCGGCTCTGTTCGTAGTTTTTGGTTTGGGAGTTGTCATCTACGGGGAGAAGGCAGATGAAGCATTGCTCATCTGCATCCCTGCTCGGTGCTTTTCTGTAGCCAACTCATGGAAACCCTTGAACTGGAAGATAAATGAACTCTAAAGAACTCTTAAGAATTAACCCTTTCACGGGGATCCAGATACCAAGTAATTGTGCCATTGTGTTTTCAGTGTCATCTTCCTGCTTCTAAGTGTAAGTTCCAAAAATCTTCCTCTGGGTTGAAATTGTAATTTCCTCTTCCAGTCTTTTTTTAAAAATGAAATAGAATAGTTTGAGCTTTCACACTCATTTTGGAGGACCTGTTGGGCTTTTTGGTGTTGAACAGGGATGGAGGATATACTTAAGTTGCTAGACCATGTGCAGTAATGCTGGTGTTTCATTAGTTTGTGCTGTGTTCAAGCCCAGTTTACTGACTTGTGTCTTCTCCACAGGCTAGCTTTGTGGCTTCTGGAAATAGAACAGATATTTCCCTAGATGACCCAAACTTTTGGCAGAAATGGGCTAAAATAGCTGAACTGGACACTGAAGCAAAGAATGAAAAGGTAGGACATTAAGACTATTTATCCCACTGAACATGTCACTGATGGCTTCATGTGGCCATAAACTCACACAGAGCTCAAGCCATTACTCACGCCAGGGCCGCGATTCCTTAGTGAGATGACACTTGTAAAACATGTCTGGCACATAGAGCTTGATAAATGTTAACTATTAAAAATGATCTAATGGAACACTCAGTCTGATTAACAGCTGGAAATTAGACAAAGGCAGTTAGAACTGGAACTGGCCAAAGGGAAGGAGTTCAGTGCTTTGTCCCAACTCAGCAGCCCATCCCTGAAATGTACCCTTTTCCTTTACTTGAATAATTGCTAGGAAGTAACCTCACCTTTGTCAGATCATTGGAAGAGAGAGAAAGGAGCGTGCTGGAGCAATGTCTCTTGGCTTCACCTTCATTCTTTCAGCGTCTCGAGTTGTCCTGGTTCTGAGTAAGAGGAAAGAGAACGAGCTTGATAATGAATCAGACTTTGAATACCAGCTCTGCATAGACTAGCTGTACGCTGTTGGGCAAGTTACTTGACCTCCCTGAGGTCAGTTTCTTCATGCTAGAGTAGCAGGTGGTCATGCCTGTTTTCAGGAAGTGTGTGTTCATTTTGTGAGTCTAACTGGCCCATTGTGGGGCACTCCTTCAGCATTAGTTTTCCTTCTTACCATCGCTAGTGCCATCAGCCTACTGCGGAATGGATGCGCAGGGACAGTACAACTGTCCCTGCTTGTACCCCACCTGTTCAGTAAGCAGTACTTGCCATATGTGCTCTGTGTCTTGACTGCCAGAGATTGGATCCTTCAGCTCTGTTTTCCAAACACATGCTGTTGACCTCTCTCAGGAAGATTCTATAGTCCTTGTCCGTGACTTATTGTAAGTATTTTTTTGGTGCCACAATCAAGAAAGAAGTTACTCTACTCGGGTGGGCAATGGGGAGGAATGCCGGTCTGTCTGCAGTAAGAAGCAGTGCGGTACTCCCAGGTAGAGAACCAGAAGGGGTAATACACTGATAACACCAGAAATGTGTTAGGTGGGCAGCTTGGAGAATTAGGCAGCAGTTTAGCCCAGCTTTAGAAAGGTGCGGTAGCAGGCACCTGGTGACACGGTCAGTGGTTCCAACCCACCAGCCACTCCAATGGAGAATGGTGACGCCTGGGTTTCTCAAATCACTCCCTGTCATCAAGTCGATTCCAACTCATAATGACCTTATAGGACAGGGTAGAAGAGCTGCCCTGTGTGTTTCTGAGACTGTAACTAGGGGAGTAGGAAGCCTCATCGCTCTCCTGTGGAGCAGCTGGTGGATTTGAACTGCTGACCTTATGGTTAGCCTGACACATAATCCACTACACCACCAGGGCTCCCTCATAAAGATTTACAGACTCAGAAACCTTACAGAGTTGGAAGCTAATTGATGGCAGTCGGTTGAATTTGGTTTTAGTTTGTAGAGGAGACTGGAGAGCCAAAAATAATGGAAATTTAGAAAAGAGTCAATGGGTGTGGTCAAGGGAGTCCCTGAGCTGGAGCTATATTTTCAGTGAAAGACAAAAGGTTAATAGGTAGTGTCAGTGGAAGGCAGATAACAAAACAGCAGGGATGTGTGTTTTGTCTTCAGAAAGTCGCTTAGCAGATGAGCTCCTCCAACTTGTCATGTCTCCTGAGCTCACACTGCTCCCCATATGCTGGACAGAACAGCTGGGACTCCCCATTCCAGACCTTCTTGGCAAGAGCAGCCTAGCACTCTGGGCACTGGGAGGGCGGCCTTTGCCTGCCCGTGCCTACAAGAGCAGCAGATGGTGGCGGGCAGCACTGGGGACTCGAGACGATGCCAGCCTCAGCAAGTCCCTGAGAATCCCCTCTGCTTGTCTTGTTGCCATGGACACAGCAGGTGTGCTAGAAGGAGCATTTTTTCTGAGGGAGGTGTGGGTGGATGAGGCAAGGGCGTAGTTCTGTCCCCAGAGTCATGAGGAATGTATGCTGTGGCAGGGGGCCTGCATACATTTCTCTCTCTCTCTAGGAAAGTTTAGTGATTGACCGGCCTCGGGTGAGGAAGCAGACCAAGCACTACAACTCCTTTGAGGAGGACGAGCTCATGGAGTTCTCGGAACTAGACAGTGACTCTGATGAAAGGCCCACGAGATCCAGGCGCCTGAATGACAAAACCAGGCGCTACCTCCGAGCCGAGTGCTTCCGGGTAGAGAAGAACCTGCTCATCTTTGGGTACGTGCTGCCTTTACTGGCTTTTTTGCGTTTCACCCCTGGGCTTTATCTGGTGTGATTCTCCATTCTCCCCTAGAAGTGTGGGCTTTGTTAGGGATGTGCCGGGGAGTAAGGGAGAGAACTGCCTCCTTTTTTTTTTTTAATAATTTTATTGGGGGCTCGTACAACTTTTACCACAATCCATACATACATACATCGTGTCAAGCACATTTGTACATTTGTTGTCCTCATCATTTTCAAAACATTTTCTTTCTAATTGAGCCCTTGGTATCAACTCCTTCTTTATTCCCCCTCCTTTCTCCATCCTCCCTCCCTCATGAACCCTTTATAATTTATAAATTATCATGATTTTTTCATGTTTTACTGATGTCCCCCTTCACTCACTTTTTTGTTGTCCGTCCCCCAGGGAGGGAGTTGTATGTAGATCATTGTGATCGGTTCCCCCTTTCTACCCCCACCTTTCCCCTACCCTCCTGCTATCACTGTATCACTACTCTCATTATTGGTCCTGCGGGGTTTATCTGTCCTGATTCCCCGTGTTCCAGCTCTGATCTATACCAGTGTACATCCTCTGGTCCAGCCGGATTTATAAGGTGGAATTGGGATCATGATAGTTGCGGGGGGAGAGTGGGGTGTCATTAAAGAACTAGAGGAAAGTTGTATGTTTCATCGGTGCTATACTGTACCTGACTGTCTCATCTACTCCCTGCGAGCCTTCTGTAAGGGGATGTCCAGTTGCCTACAGATGGGCTTTGGGTCTCCACTCCCCCTCCTTCATTCACAATGATAGGATTTTTTGTTCTGGGTCTTTGATGCCTGGTACCTGATTCTGTCAACACTTCATGATCACACAAACTGGTGTGCTTCTTCCCTGTGGGCTTAGTTGCTTCTCAGCTAGATGCCCGCTTGTTTATCTTCAAGCCTTTAAGATCCCAGACGCTATATCTTTTGATAGCCAGCCACCATCAGCTTTCTTCACCACATTTGCTTATGCACCCACTTTGTCTTTAACGATTGTGTCGGGAAGGTGAGCATCATGAAATGCCAGGTTTTAAAATGAAGTGTTCTTGCACTGAGGGAGTACTTGAATGGAGGCCCAATGTCCATCTGCTACCTTAATACTAAACCTATAAATACATGTACATAGATCTATTTCTCTATCATATATATTTACCTATGCACATGACTGTATTTAGACCTCTATAAATGCCCTTTGCCTCCTAGTTATTTCCTCTATTTCCTTTTACTTTCCTCTTGTCCCACTATCATGTTCGGCCTTCATTTGGGTTTCAGTAATTCCCCTTGACCAAGCCCTACCAGGCCTCTTACACCCTCCTTGCCACCGATTTTGGTTCACTTGTTGTTCCCTGTCCCTGGGTTTGTTAACACCACTTTGTTCCCCCCGCCTCCCCATCCTGTGTGCCCCCACCACCAATGATCCCATTGTTTTCTCCTCCAGATTGTTTATCCCACCGATCTTATCTAGCTAGACATGCAGAGACAATAATAAGCACAAAAACAAGAAAGAGCAAAACAAAACAACAGCAACAAAAAACCAACGACAAAAAACAAAAAGCCTATAAAGTAGTTCCTGGTCTGTTGAGTGTTTTCCGGTCAAGTCTGATGGGGTGCTACACCCTGGCCCCCCAGTCTATTTTTGGTGTTCTCCAGGGACTTCCTTGCTCAGTTTCCCTTGCTATTCTGTTGCACACCCTTAGTATTTCACCTTGGTGTGGTGGGATCAGGTTGGGCACAATTCCCGCACTGTCTCCAGTGTTGTCCCCCATAGGGCTATGGGCCAGTGAGGGTTGTGTCTCGTGGTGGCCCCACCCTATGGTCTTCTTTGTGCAATGGCTGCTCTGAGCAGGAATATCATCCTCGGGGCTTGGTGGGCCAGGGTATACTTCACTCTCTCCCTCCCCCTTTGTGTCTCCCTCCCACTTTGTTTGCTTCTCTGTGCTCTGATCAGACATGCCCCTCTCCCTGAGCTGTAGTTCCACTGCTGTCCTCTGAAGTGAATTCTTCTTGGGGAAAGGAGGGGTTGTCCACGTAGTTGGGATTGGGGCCGGCCCCTCAGACCTCTCTATTGGTTCCCTGCTTTGTGTGTGTTGCATTCACGCCTGAGTGCACCAGGTTGGAGTCTGGTCCTTCTTTTCCTATGGAGCTATAAATAACACCCTCCCCTTGGGTGGGTTAGTGCCCTGTTCCCCCACTACCCATAACCAGGGATACATATGGTAGCCAACTAAAAAGGAGAGAACTGCCTTCTGCTCAGAATGCCACCTCGGTGCTGTGCACGCTGCTGCCATACTGTAGAGGCGCCATGATTTCACAGCATACCTTAATAACTCATTTGCTCCCTGGTGCTGATTTCCTGCCCTTTCTTCCCTCCAAGGATATACAAGGACTCAGTGCAACAGATGTTATAGTTAAGGCTTGATTCGTGCCTGTGCACGCTCGGGTAAGAATATAAAGTGTAGCTTCTGTGAGCTCACCATTTCTGTCTCACCAGTCCTGTTTTATTTCAGTTATTCCCTGCTCCAGACATTTTGGTCTGTGTCTTTTTAACGCTCTGTGATCATATGAAGTACTTAGTGTCTAATATCCAGGTCACTTCAGTGACACTTGAAGTGACACAGGCCTGTGGTCTTCAAAGGCCTTTCAGGACAAAGCCCTCAAGACGGTTTGTAGACCCAGCAGGGAACAGGAAGCACTTTGGGCTCTTGTGGCCCCTCATGTGCTTAGGATGCCTGTGTGGCCTGCCCTTTTCCCAGTTTCCTTCTCTGTGTCCACTCTGCAGCTGGGGCCGATGGAAGGACATCCTGACCCACGGGCGGTTCAAGTGGCATCTAAACGAGAAAGACATGGAGATGATCTGCCGGGCCTTGCTGGTGTATTGCGTCAAGCATTACAAGGGCGACGAGAAGATCAAGAGTTTCATTTGGGAATTGATCACACCTACCAAAGATGGGCAGGCCCAGACCCTCCAGAACCACTCAGGTGAGAGACGCCACACCGAGGCTACACACACATCTCTTCCGGGGAGATTCTTCTTTTCTCTCCCTGTGTTGTCCATGCTACCAGACTCTGGGGGATTTCTCTTGCTCAGAGAGAAATTTCACCCAGGTACCTGTGAAGTTTTAATGTCACTTGGGCCCTTTTGACGTCGGTGCACCTGGCAGTCCTGGCCCTAACCTGAGTGCCAGAGGGTTTCCTCCAAGGAATTGGGGACCATGCTCTCTGAGACTTGTCTTTTGCATCATCTCATCATCTGTTCAGTGCATCTGTCTGTCTTGAACTGCATTTGGTCTCCCCTGTGCTTGGCCAAAGTGCAGGTTGAGTGTTCCTCTTTCCCTGAGTTAGATTCTACATTCCTGAAGGCTATAGATTGCATTGCACCTTTCTGAATTCCTGAGTCCTCAGTAAGTTCTTTCTCTTTAAGTAGCAGTTCTGGGGCATACTAAGTAGGGAACCAGTCTCATCCATTCACCATCACCGCTGCTTGGTAAACTGAAGGCGGGTCGTTGTCCAGGCCTCGCCAGACACAGCCTGATTATCTCTCTGCAGCCCCAGGCCAGCTTTGGTCAAGCACCCATGTATAACCTACTGTGTCTCATGCACTTGGTGCTTTTCTGTTCCAGGTTTGTCTGCCCCAGTCCCTAGAGGAAGGAAAGGGAAGAAGACTAAGAATCAGCTGCTGCTCCCAGAATTAAAGAATGCTGACTGGCTGGCCACCTGCAACCCCGAGGTCGTCTTGCATGATGACGGCTACAAGAAGCACCTCAAACAGCACTGCAACAAGTGCGTGTGCTCCTCCCCTCCCTGCAAACCTTCACTGTCTGTCCAGTCACCCAGAAACTCAAGAGTTTCTGGATGCTTGCACACTACTCTGCCTGGTGTTTAAAAGACGGGAGATGTGGGCTAAGTTGGGTCAGAATACTTGTTATTTGCTTCTTCTTCCAGTTGGCTGTGTCCATTCCTGACCTCTAGTCTTCTGACAGGTGTTGCTATCTGGAGGCTAAAGGGAATGGGAGGGGCAACAACACCAATTAAATGAACTGTTCTAGGACATTTGGACACTTGGAGAGCTAGGGCAATTAACCACAGAACACACGTGGACATTTTCATCATTCTTCAATGTAGCTACATCCTGAGGACCTTAGATTTAAAAGGGTCCTTGGAAGCCATCTAATCAATCTGGGCCATGTAAGAATTAACCTGCTCAGCTTTCCTGGTGAGTGGTGATAAGGCTTCCGCTTAGATTCTTCTGAGAATACAGAGTTTACTGCCTTACAAGTTAAGTTGTTTTTGTTTGAGAGAACTATTGGCTAGTTTTTTGGTTTTGTTTTTTTCTGCCTGCCTATAACATCTTAATGGCTCTATAGATTTCGTTGGGTGATTTTTGTTGGTTTTCTTTCCACAGATGAAGTCTGCCCTTTCTCTTGACTCTAGAAAATATTTGAAGCTTGGGCTCAGGCCCAGTACTATATGGGAAACTGATGTACACAAGGTGCAGGCTCTTTGGAGGCCGTAGGTCTTAATGGAGACGTAGAGAGCACACCCTGTAGGTGCTGGAGAGGAGGAAAGCATGCACAGAGTACCTGATGGGGCCAGGACCCAGTAGCAGCTTTGGGTCTGGGTCAGAGTCAACACGTGGGGAGCAGAAAGAGGAGGCTGGCTACATAAGAAAACTGAGAGACAGAAGACCTTACCTACCAGGCTAACCACGGATTTAGTTACAGACATTAAGCACCCATTTTCCTTGATCAGGTGTGAATTGAGACAAAATTCGACTTTGGAGAACAGGATAATCTGGTAGCAGTTTGCAAGATGAAGTTAGTGCACCTCCTGGAGCTGATTGAGTGGTCAAGCAGAAGAGCTCTGCCTTAGTTAAATCTTAGATCAGGAGGACCTCAACTGGAGTACTGGCTGTGGAAATGGGAAGGCTGAGTCAAATGTCAAAGCCAGGAGGATAGCAGTGCTTTTAGCCACGATAAACTCAGGAGTGTTGTATTCTCCAAAAGATGACGAGCAACACTAGATTCGGGCTTTGCCTTGTTAGTTGCAGTGCCGTGTAGCTTGCATTGCCAAATGGACCTGAGTAGGAGAATGGACTTATAACTTCAGTGGACACCTGCAGAGATTATCATAGATGAGCCAGACCAAGTTTTAAGCTTTTGGGAAATTCTTTCAAAACCACCTACCTCCCAAAGACCCTTCCTGAGCATATGCTGGACCCGGAAAATCAAAGAACTCATCTTGAGGATGCTGATTGCTGTTTTATTCCATGGAAGACAACAGAGACCAACTTCCAGTGTAGTCTGTTTCCGTAAGATCAAACTCGGAGCTAGCAAGGACCTTGTGACACCTCCCTCACTCCGTAGAATGTCCCCAGCATTGCCCAACCGCTGCTTACTCCTCCCAATGGTGGGAGTTAGGATTCATTCAGTTAACAGATAACTATGTGTGTGGAACGAAAACCTGCATCCTTATAACTTCTACCACTTGGCAACAGGTCCTGGTTCTGTCCTGAGGTGGAATAGAGAACAGGCCAGAGTCTCCGTAGTGTCACAGAGCTGTGAGCTTCACAATGGACTCTGTTCGTTACCTGTTAGTTAAATGGGTGACAAGAGGAAGGAAGAAAAGAATCTAAGAAGTTCTAAAAACGGTTTATATTGGCAGAAGACTAATTTCCGGGAATGGCGAGCTATGTTTATTAGCCAGTTGACTGCCATTTCAGTATTAAGTAAAGGTGAAGACAGGTTCTGATATTAAGACTGTATAGATTTGAATTCTGGCCCAACACTTATCAGGAGTATGAACTACTGATAAGTAAGTTACTTAACCTATCTGCACCTGCTTTCCTCCATTAAAGAAAGGAGAAGAAGAATAGTTCCCACCTCTTCGCATTGCTGGGAGGACTTCGGTGAGCTAACACATGCATGCACATAGTAATAATTCAAGGACTTGTTTGTCAGTCATAGTACTTATGTGCCGTTGAGACAGTTCTGATTCACAGCAGCCCTATAGGACAGCAGACAACTGTCCCATAGGGTTTTCTTGGCTGCAATCACCATGGGGGCATAGTTCCAGGTCCACTCCACCCTCATCTCCATTCTCCAGTGGATCTCTTGGTGGGTTCAAACCACCACTCGTTCAGTCAGCATTTGAGTGCTTCACTGAGCCATGATGATAATATGTTATTTAGAGGCAAGAATTTGCCATGTAAAGAACTTAAAACAGAAGAAACAAGAATGTTGTTTTTATAACTGTTAGAAGGAGCCCTGGTGGTGTCATGGTTACGGGTTGGGCTGTTCAAAGCCACCAACAGCTCTGAGGGAGGAAGACTGGGCTTTCTACTCGTGTAACGGATATGGACTCGGAAACACACAGGGCATCCCAATGGGTCAGCATTGACTCCAGGGCAGTGAGTTTGGATTTGGAAAGGGCAGGATGGTGGTGGGGATGGGACATGATGCCTGGCAAGGGATAGTGACTAGGATAAATTCTCCTGACCTGGATGCTGGATACACATGTGTGTTCACGTTGTGGAAATTCACCAACTTGTGCATTTTTTATGAAGACACTATCAGAATTCTCTGATAAAGATCCTTTCTTTTTCAGTACTTCACCTCAGTAAAATTTAAAGGAAAATGGATACCGCCACCAAGAGTATTACTGGGTTGTTTTGTTTGGCTTAAGCAAGGGTATTAGAAACCTGTGTGTGCTTTCTTGCCCTTGAGTTCAGAAGCCAACTAAGGTCACCTTACACTGAGGATGGTAGTCCTCTGAGAAATTACCTACCTACCCTCTGATGATTGGTTCTTCATTTGGAGAATGAGTGAATACTGTTGACTGTGGATTCCATTCTCTCATGCTACTGATGGTACTAAACGTCAACATATTGGCTTCTTAGCGCAGATGAAGCAGCTCTCTATCTCATATCTTCAGGGAAGCCCTCTTCTGAGCCAGATGGAAGAAGACAGGACTCTGACATTCTGGACCTGTGACACCCTAGTCCCAGTCCTTATTAAGAAGGCTGGCAGCTACTTCCGGCTAGGTGTCAAGTTAGCAAAGGTTGTACCTGCTTAATGAGTTCTTATACCTTGGGCTTGACAGCTCAGGTAAGGAATGCTAAACAGGAAAGGAGGGAGTTGTCAATGTAAAAATTAAACTCTGTGCCCAGATTTAGTAGAGATCATGCTTTTGTAGAGGCATGATGTAGGTAATGCATAGGCATGTTTTAAAAAGTGCTTCTGAAGAGAAGTGTTCCTTCCACCCTCAGTCCCTGTTACCTTCTCCAGAAGGACCAGCGTCCATTGTTCTTCCAGAGATAGTCTGTGCATGTGTCACTGCGCACTGTGTGTAGTCTCATAAGAACAAATGATCTGGAGATCAGGTCATACAGAGCTATGTATAAATGGGCTTCTTAAAAACCGGTCTTCATTTTATACTGGTTTTAAACAAATTACAAGAATTCTTTAAAAAAAAAATTCTTCTAAACTTAGCCTTGAATATGAAGTACCCTGCAAAAGTGGTCAGCTGTTCTCTGACCTCTGGGTCCCCACCTGTGGTCTGACTTTTCCACTGTGGGGCCCTTTCCCCATGCAGCCTGCTGTAGGCTCCTGGAGAATGGGCTGCCTTGCCCGCTCTGGACATTTCACAGGGACTCAGCATGGTTCAGGCACATAGAAGCTGCCCAGCAAATGCATAGCTGTGTCTCAAATCTATCTGGCACATGCCCATTGGACCTGGGTGCAGTCCATACTCAGTCACTATGAATTAGCACCTGGATGAGAATCTTCTCTGGCAGAGTGGCCACAAAGCATAGACGTGCCTTTGACACAGACACTGAAGTGTGTATCAGGGAAATTGTGGAAAACACCAGGTGATGCACGCACACACTCGTCAGGAGACTAGTGGATTGGTAAGGAGCCTGCTGGAAACGGCAAGGTGGAGAGTGCTGTGAGACTCGCTCAGGGATCAGGAGAAGCGCCATCTGTCTCTGCTACTGCCTACAGTCTCATGGGACTCACCGTGTGCCATCCCAGAGCACAGCCATCGCAGATAGTGTTCTGTCTTCCTAGAGCTTTCCCACCTGTGACATGATGGCACTGAGTCTGCATGAAAATGCCAAGAATCTCCCTGTGTCTGCATGAGGACAACTTGGGTTTAATGTGTGTGCCTTCATTTCTTTGCCTTCCATAGGGTACTTTTGCGAGTCCGGATGTTATACTACTTAAAAGCTGAAATCCTGGGAGAAGCAGCTGATAAAGCATTTGAAGGAACTCCAGCCAGGTAAAACAAGTCTGCTGCGGCACCTAGTGCTAAAGAATTGACACTAAGCCCCTGCCCGTGGGACTGACCAGAGTTCCTGTGTGTCCCTCTCTACCCATGATCCCTACCTACCTGGCAGGACAGGGCCCAAGAGTAGGAGCGATTTAGTCAGGTCTTCTAAAGTTGAAGTCAAACAGGAAACTGAAAAACCCACACCATCGAGTCAATTCCAACTCCCAGGGTAGGCCTGCCCCTGTGGGATTCCAACACTAACACTGCAAGAGCAGAATGCTGTATCTTTCTCCAAGAAGGAGAGAACAGGTTCTTAGGAACACAGCTTTTGGTGAATTTTTTTGGGTTTGTTTTCTCCCAATACTGTTGTGACATTACTTTGAAAACTGTCATTTCATTTCCTTAATAACTACAAAGTGGTTGGGTGTCAATTCCCTTGACAGGCATGATACAACAAATAGAAGCTGCAAGTGTTAGCCAGAATCCCATTTTGGCCTTCATACATGCACATTTGAGTGAGTCCATTTTATTTGTTCCACATATTAATAATACCTTGTGATCTATTTGATTTGTTACGCCTTCATTTTGTTCATTAGTTTGTCCAAAGCTATATATTCCTATGGGATTCTCCTGAGAGTTCAGGCAATGGGGCTTCCAGGCTTGTAGGTGGGGTGGCCAATTAGCCTCCTTTGTCTCCCCTAGGACCGCCGTTTACTCTGGCTGTATGCCATGTCTTTCCTTCCCGAGAACACCACAGTCAGCCCTGAACCCCGGGAGTATTGGGCTTTGTTTGAGATTACCTGGGGCCGTGTTATCTTCTTTCTGTTTCTAGCTGCTGGACATTGCTAATGACTGTAGTGTTTGTAGGCAAGCAGAGGAAGGAGAAAATTGAGGGCTTTGGGCTGTAGGGAGCTTATCATGACTATTATGACCCAGGATGATTCTGTAGTCTTTGTGTTTCCAATAGTAAGTAAGTAGTAGGATCGAGAGATGTTTTGATTAAAAAGTTCTGTTTAAATCCTATAAGTGCAATAGAATTCAGCCCAATTGTGTGATCTATCTGAACTTACTCTTGCTCCAGTCTTGTGCTCTTTCAGGCATGTAGGAAGTGAAGGACTTGAGACTAGGTAGAGTGTGGAGAGAGAGTCTGTTACCCACCCTCTTCCTTCCTTTACTTTGCTTTGCTTAATCCTGGCCCTCACTGGTCCTGTTCAGGTTTAATGCTGTATTGTGGAGAAGTTGTAATGAGGAATGAAACCAGTTCATCCCAGAAAAGTCACTTAGCCCTTGGCACTGCACAGGCAGAGCCATGGGCCCTACAGTGGAGCCAGATGGACTGCCTGGAAACGTGTGGGCTGGGTCACCCTACCCCACAGAGAGGCTGAGCCTGGTGCAGTCAGCCATGTGTGTGTCACAGTAGGAGGAGCTGAATGGGAAAAGAAGCCTGAAAGGCTGCAGAGGAACCATCCCAGTCAGCTGGGAGGTGGGAGGGAAGAGCTGTCAGGTAAATACCCTCCCCTGTGCCCCAGAACATTCAGAGTGAGGACTACACTTCTCAGGCAGATGAAGACAATGGACTGGGTGGGCTCAGAGAACATGGATAGAAGCGCAAGAGGGCTGATGACCCGTGCCTGCTCTTCCCTGCACACCCGCTCCTTCCACCTGTGGTGCGGGTCCTCTTGGGGGACTTCATATCGCCCATTTCCAGCGCAGACATTCTTACTCTCAAGTACTGTTGGAGATCCCTGCTGTCTTGCTCGAGGTTATTTTGGCACCACTATCTTAGATATTTGATCACAGGTTAATTTAACTTTTGGGGAAAAGTCCTACCAGCAGCTGACTAATGTTCCAGACCAACATAATGTGCATATCACAATAAACCGAGTCCCATGAGTTGTTTCCCAGGGCATATAAATGTTAGAATTTATAAAATAGTCTCTAAGTATGCAAGAGCATTATGAAAAAAGTTTGACATACTGCAAGAATTACCAAATGTGCCACAAAGATAGGAGACTAGAACTGTTGGGGAAATAGAGCCAGTAGACTTGTTTGGCACACAATAGGCACAAACCTACAATTTGTGAAAAATGATGTGTTTGTGAAGCCCTGTAAAATGGGGTATGCCTGTATTGTGGTTCACGATTGAAAATGTCCATCAGAACTACCTTGTACATGCTGATTCCTGGGTCTGCCCAAACCAAAGGGTCATGGACTTCATCCATTAAGAGATCCATTAACATTCTGTGTTAGTCTGAGGTGTGGCCTAGAAATCTAGTACATATGTTTAAGTTGCTCCTTAGATAATTTACTGCACAGCCCTGGTTAAGAAACAATAGCCTGCAGCCTTCTGATTTCTTTTAATGGTTGTTGCTTCAGTATGTAAGCATGAAACTAGAGTTGGAGTTTAATGCTAGGCTTGGGACAGCAACTCTTGAGTTGTTTTCTGTCGAAGGGATTCTGAATCCACGCTCTTGCTTCCACAGAGAACTGGAGGTACCTCTGCCCGACATCGACTATGTGGAGATCCCAGTGGATTGGTGGGATGCTGAGGCCGATAAGTCCCTTTTGATTGGCGTATTCAAGCACGGTGTGTATTTGGAGTTTTCTCTTTGGGATTAATTCTCGCACTCAGCTTGGCATATTCTTGAAAAATTCCTCCCCCAAAATTGTTTGTTTGTTTAATACAGTGATTGCCCTTGTGAGAAACCTTCATGTTTGCCATAGTGACTTTCTTTAAAAGTAGACCCTTTTCACTGCCCTCCTTGAATTTGGGCAAGATGCATGAATGTATGACTGATAAATGCTAATACCAGTCAGGAGCTTCCCCACAGCAACTATTGCCACAGAGAGGAATCCTCAAGCTAACAACATAGTCTCAGAGTGTGGTTTTAACAACAACAAAAAAGTCAATATGTGAAACCCAGGATTGATGAACCTATAGGGACAGCAAGTAAAATAAGGGTTTGGGGCCAAGATGGTAAAAGGAAACTGTCAGGAGTACAAGGAAGGAAAAGTATGTTTGGAAACTGATTGCGGTAGCAATTGTATGATACAGCTTGACATGATTGAACTATGGAGTGATATGTAGACATTAACTCCCAATTAATAATAAATTACTAAAAAACAAAAAAAAAACACAAGTAAAAGGACAATAATCTATTGCTCACTCTTAGACAACAATCTAAGACTCAATAACCAAAACTCACTCTCTCCTAGAAAAGGCAAGATAATTTTGGTACTGTACCTACTCTTTCCATCATCCCTGGTGAAGGGTTAGTGATAGTTCTCTTAGTCCCATAACAGAATGGCAGAGGGTCAGAGCAGATGGTAGCTAAGGCTACCTCCTAATTTACAACCCTACTAATTAGTTTTGCAGGCTATAAGTAAGTAAGGGTGTTCCCTAAGCTCGCCTGTGGTGACTGGAAGATGATGTTCCTTTCATTCACACCTTCTCAGGTTGCCAGTTTAGATGAACTCAGTATTCCTCATTAGGGTCACGTAACAGATACCCAGAAGGTGATGTGTTTTCTACTGAGAATTAGATGTTGCATTGTAGTTGATGATGTGATTGGTAGACATGCTATAAAGTTGGGGTAAACCCAGGCTCTGGCTTAGGCCTGATAGGTCCAGACACACTCAGTAATGGTGCCCTTAGCACTACTCTGTTGGACAGATAGATCCCTGTGGTTGACATGGGCCCAACTTCTTGACATCTTCCAGAGTCTAAATCGATTGATCCTGCTTTGGTGACTGGATGCTGCCCATCAGGCATTCTGTGAACATAGACATTGTAACCTGCCCTCCTCTGAATAGCACACTCTGACACCCAGAACAGCCTTGCCAAGCTAAACTCAAGCCGAGATAACATTTACTACCATTGGCAAAGTCCCAGACACCCAGTAACAGTTGTTCATTACCATCACCTTGATTCCAGCTTAGATGCACAACAGAACAAAACACCCGCGCCATCCTCACAGTTGCTTTGTTGTAGCCATGGTTGCAGCCACTGTCACTCCAGCTTCTCGAGGACCTTCCTCTTTTTACTGCCCCCGACTTTACCCGGCATGATGTACCTACCCGGGGACTGGTCTCTCCCGGCAACATGTTCAAAGTATGTCAGACAGCATCTCACCATCCTCACTTCTAAGGAGCATCTGGCTGTACTTCTTCCAAGACAAATTTGTTTGTGTTTTTGTGGGTTTTTTTTCTTTTTTCGGTGGTCCACAGTACTTCATATTCTTCGTCAGCCTCCATAATTCAAATGCATCGATTCTTCTTCGGTCTTCCTTATTCAATGTGCAACTTTCACATGCATATGAGGCCATTGAAAAGACCATGACTTGGGTCCACTGCACCTTATTCAGCCAATTAACATCCTTGCTTTTGTAACATGTAAAAGAGGTCTTGTGCAGCAGATATAACCAATGCAATGTTTCATTTGACCTCTAGACTGTTGCTTCCATAAACATTGACGACTTAAATCTTTTCTCTCCTTGTATCATTCTGATTGTTGGGATTTTTCTTTTGGTCCACACTGTCGAATGCCTTTGCAACACAACAGCTAGTGGAGTTGTATTCGGCCATTTTCAGAAGCCAAGCTCTCTCGTGGTCTTGTATTAGGAAGCCCTTTCTGCCTTCTTACTTACAGTATGAGCTGTGGTCTGCAACCACAGCTTTGCTAAGAAGGATACAGCTATTCATATCCTGCTGCAGTCCTGCTTAGATCCAAAGCAAAGTTCCCCTTTCAAATTAAAATCCCAGTGAGGAAATTGGCTGAATCTCTGGTTGGGACTTCAGCCTGCAAGAGGATGACTAGTGAACCTATTCTCAGTGATGAGCTTGACAACTCTGAATTGGCAGCAAGTGACTGCTGCCTACCCAGAGAAGCCCAGATTCGTGAAGTTTTCATTGAGGTCTGAGATGGAGCATTTCTGCTCTATCTTAGAAAGGAGCTTATAGACTGACCAGAAAGTGGCAGACAGCCTAACCCATTTCAAAACCTGCCATTTGCTGTGTGTGTCTATACTGCTGTCAGCTCTTAGTACTTGTTTGTTCACATCCAGCTTCTCAGCTGAGAAATAGAAATACAGACTCTGCCCAGACTCTAGAGCCACACATGACAAGAGCAGATCTGCAGAGAGGAGGCTGGCCACATGGCGAGTCTGGCAGTTAGCCTCACTCTGCTGTAGTGTGACAGTGGAAGAAGACTTTTACCACCTTGACAGATACATCACCCTCTCTTCATAAGGAGAAACAAATGGAGACAGAGTATCAGGAATTGCCTGAGATGACAGGAGAGTATTAATTTCTTCGGTTTTGATGTGAGCTGATGCAAGAACATGAGGCAGTGTGAGTGGTCCCATCTACATTGAGTACTGGAAGAGAGCCTGGGCAAAACAGACTCCTCAAGGCCCTTGTTGTCCTGAGAGATGGGCACCTAAGAGACATGGCTGTGAGGGCTCCACAGCCTCAGTGAGAGAGGCGAGCAGTGACCTAGGAGTCACCCTCAAGTGGTGAAGAAAGGAGAGCATAAGGCACCACACCTTCTCACGCCAGATGTCCCATGTGGGCATCATCTGTCATGGAAACAGCAGGAGAGTCACTTTGGATTAAAAGTTCAAGTACCTATATTCCTCAAAGGAAAAAGTGCCAGGTGCTGCTGCCTGGTGAAGGGCAAAGGGTTACGGGTACAACTGTGTCAACAATGATATTGCAGCAGAAGCCAACACAGAAATAAACCCTTGACAGAGTGCAGTCAGGTCTGTTGTTAACAGCCAGGCTGGTTCTCATTTCTGCTCCGCTCACCCTGCACAGGTGGTGAACACTACGTGGAAAGGGTTCTGATGATCATGGTAGTTAGTACAGCAATGGGTTTAGCTGTTGTACATGGCCAGCTCCTGCCTCTTTCAGAGATTATGCTAAATGGAGTAAAATAAATTCCCATGCATGGCTCAAATCAGTAGTGTCCTTTTTCCATAATTTGGTCATTCTTCCACGGTCTCCCTTCTGGTCAGAAATACTCCATCTGTGTTAACTTTAGGGATGCAGTTAGGAGCAATTCTAAAGCTTTGGCCAGTGGCTGAGGATCATACTCTGTGAATAGAGGCAACAAGTCTATTTTGCACCAATAAGCAATTGAAGTAGCCGCCTTTCTGTTTCCTGCCTCACTTTGGTCCCGCCCCCTTGTGGCACATGGGCTATGGTTGAACTGTGAGGAAACAAGGCCCTCTGAGTTGGGGGGTTGAAGGGAGCAGAGTTGCAAAACAAATGGGCCTGATTCCCTGTGCAGCCCCAAACAAGTAAGCAAGTGAGAACGTGTGTCTGTAGAGCCGCTTAGTGAGCATGACATATTTACAGAGGCGTTCGTTTGGGGCCAAACACTACCCCCCAGATGTCTACTTTAGCTCAGGGATTTGTCTCATTAATCTGCAGTAAGGTTTTCTGTTGTTGTTCAGTTTTTGTCTGTTTTGGTTTGGGGGAAACAGAATGATTGTCTTGGACCTGAGGTTGATTTTGTGGCTTCTGCCCTGTGTTTGTTGTTCCTGCTGACCAGGCTATGAGAGGTACAATGCCATGCGAGCAGACCCGGCGCTGTGCTTCCTGGAGAAAGTCGGGATGCCAGATGAGAAGTCCCTTTCTGCAGAACAGGGTGTCACAGATGGAACCTCAGATGTTCCTGAGAGGTGAGAAGCCACACAAGCCACCCTTGGCACGACCTATCACACTGTGAACATGTGCACACACTCCCAGCACTCGTCCATCTCACTCTGTATGGCATCTCCTTGAGACCTGGCCAGGTGGCGACTGAATCCTGAAGTTGCTGCTTTGTTTACATCCTGCTGCACCGGCTCCCCAGTGGACATACCACCCTGCCTACTCCTGGACCAGGCTTCTCTCGTACAGAGAAGATTCTCCAAGGGCTCAGACCTCTCTCAGGTGGCAGAAGCAGAGGGAAGAAGAGGAACAGCGAGCACAGCTTTCCTGACCAGGAAACTTCTCAGATGGAAGTTCAGTGTTATTTCAGGGTTTCATGGTCCACAGGAGAGGTGGATTTAGGGACCACTGATTTGATACTCTTGGAGCCCTGGTGACACAGTGGTTGAATGCTCAACTGCTAACTGAAAGGTCAGCAGTTTGAACTTACCTGCTGCTCCATGGGAGAAAGATGAGACAGTCCCCTTTCACAAATATGTACAGCCTTGGAAACTCTCCAGGGCAGTTCTGCTCTGCCCTTTTGGGTCACGAAGTTTGAATCAGTGGCACAGTGTTGGTTTGGTTTTTAGCTTGGCAACCATGGACTCTCAGCCTTGTCCTTGAGTTATGTGGGAGGAAATGCTAGAGCATTTTCTTAGACGTTTTTAATTTTTTGGGTTTTTTTTAATCATTTTATTGGGAGCTCATACAACTCATATCAAAATCCATACATCCATCTGTCAAGCACATTTGTACATTTGTTGCCATCATTATTCTCAAAACATTTGCTTTCTACTTGAACCCTTGGTATGAGCTCATTTTTTCCCTGCCTCCCTGCCCCCCATCCCTCATGAACCCTTGATAATTTATAGATTATTATTATTTTGTCATGTCTTACACCAGGTGTCCTCAAACTACGGCCCCGCGGGCCACATGCGGCCCGCCGAGTGTTTTTGTCCCGTTTGTTTTTTTTACTTCAAAATAAGATATGTGCAGTGTGCATAGTAATTTGTTCATAGTTTTTTTTTTAAACCATAATCCAGCCCTTCAACGAGTCTGAGGGACAGTGAACTGGCCCCATTTAAAAAATTTGAGGACCCTTGTCTTACACTGTCCGACGTCTCCCTTCACCCACTTTTCTGGTGTCCGTCCCCCAGGGAGGGGGTTATATGTAGATCATTGTGATCAGTTTACCCTTTCTACCCCACCTTCCCTCCACCCTGCTGGTATCGCCACTCTCAGCACTGGTCCTGAAGGATCATCTGTTCTGGATTCCCTGTGTTTCTAGTTCCTATCTGTACCAGTATACATCCTCTGGTCTAGCTGGATTTGTAAAGTAGAATTGGGATCATGATAGTGGGGGGGGGGACGGGGGGACATTTAGGAACTAGAGGAAACTTGTGTGTTTCATCAGTACTATACTGCACCCTGAATGGTTCATCTCCTCCCCACCACCCTTCTGTAAGGGGATATCCAGTTGCATACAGATGGGCTTTGGGTCTCCACTCCCCCTCATTCACATGCGGCGATGTGTTTCATGCATTCATCACAGCGACACGTAGTACTCCATTGTAGGTATGTACCACAGTTTTTTAATCCATTCATCTGTTGATAGAAATTTGGGTTGTTTCCAACTCCTTGCAATTGTGAACTGTGCCATGATGAACATTGGAGCACAGATGTCTAGCCTTGGTTTGTTTCTTGCTTCTTCTGGTATATGCCCAGTTGCTGGATCATATGGTAGCTCAATTTCCATCTGTTTTACATATTACCAAATTGATTTCCATAGTGGCTGTACATACCTACAGGTCCACCAGCAGTGGATGAGATTTCCTATCTCACCACAGCCCCTCCAACACTTGTTGCTTTCTGATTTTTTGAATTGGGCTATCTTTGAGGGTGTTAGGTGGTATCATTGTTGTTTCAATTTCTCTTACGCTAATGATGAGGAACAGTTTCTCATATGTTTATTGACCATTCAGATTTCTGCCCTTGTGAAACTTTTGTTTGGGTCCTTTGCCCACGTCCTGAGTGGGCAATTCGTTTTTTTTCTTTTTGGAAGCTAGCAGAGTATTGTAGATTTTAGTAATAAGGCTTTTGTCTTTGACATTTATGTATTGTTGGCAATGCCCCAAAAGGTATAAATTCCCAGGTGAGCTAAATTAACAACCCTAAACCATTGTTCAACTGAAAATGCAGCATGAATCTTTTGGGTGATATTTGTTAAACTTTGCGCCTAATCTCCCCAGGAGAGCTGTGACCAGGTGCCTCTAGTAATCTGGTAAGGGTGAGGAGGGTGCAGTTCATTGCCCATCTGTTCTTAACACCCCCACCCCCACCCACCCCACCCCATGAACCCTGAGGATATTTGACTTTAAAAGGTGCATTTTGGGAGGTGTTAACAAATTCCCAACTGGTTGGTGAGCCTGTCATCAGATTCACTGGTTCAGAGAAAACACCTCTTGGTAAGCTACTTAAATGTGGCCTTCCTTTAGATTTTTGTCGGGTAGCTCCTCTTTCTGTGATTAAGCAGTGAAGGCTCGAGGTTCATCTTTCTCCAGGATCTGAGTGGCAAGACCAGGAATGTGTGGAGTAGATATATTTTGGGGTCTGTTTTTAAATGAATTGTGAGAAACAAAATGGTCAGCCATGGCCCAGCTTCTGAGGAAGAGAGGCCAATAGGCGGCGAGCCCTGTGGGGGGCGGATTAGGTGAAGCGTCCTTGGCAGTGCCAGCGGAGTTCTCATGAGAACGTGGCTTTGGCCACATGTGCGTGATTTTGTATGAGGGCTCTGCCTGCTGTGGCCTGAGGTGTGCGTGTCAGGGCGTGCGTAGTTTGTGCAGCCTTCAGTCTCTGGACTCGATTCCTTACAGAGCCACACACTCAGGGACACGTGCTAGGCCACATTTTCTGATGGTGTCATTATTGATCCTTCAGCCTCTGAACTTACCTGTGTGGATCATGGGGCTGAAGTCTAGTCCAAAATATCAGTTGACGCGAGAGGTCTTTCTTTACCCGGTAAAGTGCTGGCACTGCTTGGTGACCATTTCTCTCATCCTCATTATCTCTTGAGTTCTCTAAAAATAAAGGGAAAAGGCAAGGTTTGTGAGCATCTACGGAGGAAGGGATTTAGTCAGTAATATTTGAGTTCCTTTTGTCCACCACCCCCTTAAGTATCCTAATTGCAAGGTAACTTCTGGATGAATGGATGATGTTTATTATAATGATTTTATTTTCACTTAGAGCCAATACAGATAAAGAAGATAATGCTGAAGACAAGCTAGACAGCCTCCCAAAGCAAACGGTGAGTCAGATTGGCATCCACACTCTCTCTAATGTCAAGAAAGCAGTCCCTGTGTTAATAGTGATCTTGGGGAACTGAATCGAAATAAGATGATTGCATTGCATGTCCTCCCTCATAATGTTGTGAAGATTGTCGTACATGCAGGTTTCACTGCATTTAATTAAACATTTTGAGGTGCTTTGAAATCATGTGTTATGTTCTGAGGTGACAGGTGATGTAAATACAGTTTAAAGAAACACTAGCAAAATGCTTTACCTCGTTCCCCTTGTAGCTGCCGTGTGGTCACTGGTGGCTGTGTCACAGTCCCCTCTCCATTCATCCCTCCCCTTCCTGGGCCATGACAACCACTGCTGTGTTCTCCACTTCAGTAATTTTGCCATTTCAAGACCATTATAGAAATGGAGTCATACAGTATGTCACTTTGGGATATTTCCCCTACTCTTCAGTGCTTCTTTCTTTTCATTTATGAGTAATAATCCTAAGTATGAAAGTCTTACGGGGTTGGTTCATCATCCGCTCATTAAAGGGGCTCTGGATGGTTCTCAGGTTCGGGTATTTTAAATTGGGCCCAGGTAGCATTTATGTGCAGGTGTCTGTATGAACACACATTTTCATTTTTCTAGTCTAAAGCACAGAAGTATAATTCCTGGTTCATGTGATATGAGCCTTGGGAGTGGTGCAAAAGTGAGCCAGCATTTAACTACTAGCCTGCATGATTTTTTTCATAATACACATTTCCCATGAGCTTTGCAAAGGCCTCGTGTGTCCACGTGTGTGCACGCCCAAGCTTACTTCAAAAAGTCATTGGGAAACTTTCATTATTTTGTAATTCTATTTTTCTTTTCATTTTTGAAGCCCCATCTTAAGTGTTATGTTTGTGTAAAATAAAACATTGGATACTTCAGCAGTGTGTCTGGCTTCTCTGACTTACCCTATTTTTATAACTAAAGAGTTGGCATTCTGAAACTTAAGGCAGCGGTATTTGAAGAGTACTGTCAAGCTTACAAAGCACATCTCGCCTACAATTAGGAACTCTTTTTTTTTTAACGTTGTTTTACATACTTGATGGATTTAAAACAGTGACTTAAAAATGTTTTATGCTTTTATTTAAGCCATATAAGCCTTAATTGTTTTTTAATTCTGACAGAGTTTATATTGTTGTGTACATTTGTGTATTTTCAGTGTAACAATATCTTTATTCTCACTGTACATTCTAGCAAATGTTTTTGGCTCTGTTTGATTTTAATGTTTTGTGAATTAGGTGGCAGTTTACAGAGTAGGCCATTCCTTTTAAACAATCAGTAGTTCATGGGCATTTTATTTCAGCCTCCATTGCAGTCCCCTCAGCGTTTTATTGCTTATCCCACTTCCTCCTAGTGTCTCCTGTTTCCCTCCCTTCTCCTCTCCTGACCCTCTGTATATTGGCCTAGGGGAAATAATGCCCTTTGATTGATTGGTTGATTTTGCTAAGCTACTTTTAGGCATTATTCTTATCTCCACTGTAGAAAGGAAGAAACATAAGTCTGTTAAATCAGCTGCAAAAACGGGGTGGGGTGGGGGGGGGTCCTGCAGGAGCTGAGCCTCTTTTCAAAGCCTGAGGCCTTTCCATTATAAAACCCTAGAATTTCCCCTTCAGGCCTTTCTTGTTTTTCCCTTGTCCTATATGAGTACTTGTGTAGTGTGGCCATTACAACACAAACGGATAGCAACAAACTGGGGACTTCAGGCTTTAAGAGCTCTATCTTTTTACATGTAAAAGCTGGACCATGAATAAGGAAGAGACTGAAGAAGAATCATGCATCAGAATTCAGGTACTGGACTGTCAAAAGAATGAACACGTGCATATTAGAAGAATGCTCCTTAGAAGTGAGGATATGAAATTCCATCTCACATACTTTCAACTTGTTAGTAGGAGAGACCAGTCCCTGGAGAAGGACATCGTGCTTGATAAAGTAGAAGGCCAGTGAAAAAGAGGAAGACCTTCAGTGAGTTGGACTGACATAAAGGCTACAATAATTTCGAAGTTGCACAGCATCAGGCACTGTTATGCTTGCACAGGGTTGCTCAGTGGCACCTAACAGCAACAGTCCCTGAACCTCAACACAGTTCTTGGTATGTAGGAGACCCATGCTAATCATTTGCTAAATGTAAGAAGACAGCTCCTCATGTATTTATTTACTCCGAGCTTTTGTAAATCACAAAGGAATTCTGTGTCTGCAGGTCCAGTCCCATTGGATGTGGGTCTGCACTGCCACCACCTCCAGCTATCCCAAGATCAAATAGAGTAACATGTATTAAAGAAACACATCATAGTATATGAGGAGCGGCCACAAACAAAGGATGAAATCTGTTTCCAGACTAAGGAAGTGAGTTCCCCACCCAAGAGGGGAAGTAACAACAGGGAATTAAGTTAGTTTTAGTTACTGACAGTTCACCTGTGTGTTCAGGGTATTATGCCCACATTTAGCCACCATTATAATATAAGAAACCATGGTAGCTGCCGAGCCAGACTCAGTTCTATAGGTTGTGAAAAACATTTTTCTGTCTGAAAAGGTCTATACTTAGAAATTTCACTGTACAAAGGGTCTTCATAGATGCTGTGTCTATACTGAATATGTTTATGTGGCAGGGAAATGGTTAAATCATGGTAGGTTGTTTTCTGTTTGCTTTTCAACTCCTTAAATCATAGGTTCTGAAGTTTATTTGGCCTGCTACCCACTTTTTCTTGGGGAGGGTAGGACAATTACTCGGTGTTCCCTGATGTGTTAGACCAGGTTGACTAGAGAAACAAATTCAGAGACAATTGTGTGTAAGAGAGAGCTTTATATCAAAGAGCATTTGTATATTGAGAAAATACCCCAACCCAGCCCAGATCAAGTCCATATGTCTGATACTAGTCCATAAATTCCTCTTTAGACTCATGCAGCACATGTTATGATGCCAAATGCAGGAAGATCACAGGCCAGTGGGTGAAAAATCTTGTGGATCCAATGCCGGTGGAAGCATCTAAGCGCTGGCATGAGGTCTGGCTCCTCCACGTCTCTTGAGTGTAGCTCCTCAATGGGAAGGTGAAGCAGAGAGAGAGAGAATGAACGTCCCACCTCCAGGGAGAAAGAGAGGAAGTTCCCAGAAACCTCATGAGAAGGCCATTAAGGAGGCTGTGACCTGATTGACAGGCTAGACTCACTCCTAAGCTTATTAAGTTGACATGAAATTATATAACGACCACACCCGGCAATTTACAATATTGGTACCATAGCCCCAAATCTAGGCTAAAGTGTAAGTGTCTGCTTTTGCAAGGAGCCCTGGTGGCATAGTGATTACAGGTTGGACTGCCATCTGCAAAGTCAGCAGTTTAAAACCACCAGTCACTCCATGGGAGAAAGTGATGACTTTCCACCCCTGTAAAGAGTTACAGTGTCAGAAACCTAGAGGCAGTTTACCCCATCCTCTGGGGTTGTTATGAGTAAGCATCAACTGGATGACAGTGAGTTTGGTTTTATCTGCTTTTGCAGACTCCCTGAAACATTAAAGTGCTTGCCACTTTGGGAAATGCCACCTTAAGTAGTGGTTTTTAAGGTGTTAAATAAAATAGCGTATTTAAGTGCCACTTCAAAATGACGCAGTAAGTTTTGAAATTAACAAGGCCAACTGATTTTGAAACAGGGTACCAAGTTGATTCAATGGATAAAGAATCTCACTCAGCTCCGTGCAGTTGAGTCAGTCTGACTCCTAGCAACCCTTTAGGACAAGATAGAACTGCTCGAGAGTTCCCAAAACTAGAACTCTTTTTTTGTAAATCATTTTATTGAGGGCTCGTATAACTCTTATCACAATACTTACATACAGACATTGTGTCAAGCACATTTGTACATTCATTGCCATCATCGTTCTCAAAACATTTGCTTTCTACTTGAGCCCTTGGTATCAGCTCCTCATTTTTTCTCCTCCTTCCCTACTCCCCCCTCCATCATGAGCCCTTGATAATTTATAAATTATTATTATTTTGTCATGTCTTACACTGTCCAACATCTCCCTTCACCCACTTTTCTGTTGTCTGACCCCAGGGAGGGGATTATATGTAGATCCTTGTCATCGGTTCCCCACCCACTTTCTACCCCACCCACTCTTCACCCTCCAGGTATCGCCACTCTCACCACTGGTCCTGAAGGAGTCATCTGTCCTGGATTCCCAGTGTTTCCAGAAACTAGAACTCTTTATAGGAATAAAAAACCCCATCTTTCTCACTCAGAGTAGCTGGTTGTTTGAAACTCCTGACCTTGCAGATAGTAGCCCAGTGCTTAATCACTACCCTATCAGGGCTCCTGGAAGAAAGAATAATCTCTCCAATAAATGATAATGGAACAGCTAGGTCGTCATGTACAGAAGAATGAAATTGACCCCTACCTCACACCATATAGAAAATTAACTCAATGGATCGGCACCCTTAATATACAAGCTAGAACTGAGACTATTAGAACCAAACACGGGTAAAGCCATAGGGCCATGTATTTAGCAATGGGTTCTTACATAACAACATGAAAACAGAAGCAGCAAAAGAAAAGTAGGTAAATTGGACTTAATCAACGTAAAAGACTTAAATACATCAAAGGACATCATCAAGAAAGTAAAAATCAGAAAATATCAAGACTATATGTAGAACTCCTGAAACTTAACAAGATAAAGAGTGGACAAAGGACTTGAATACACATTTCTTGAAAGAAGATACACAAATGACCAATTGATGCTCAGCATCTTTATTTTGCCTTTAGGGAAATTAAAATAAAGCCTATAATAAATACCACTTTATACCTACTAGAGTGGTGGTTACCAAAGCATAAAATACAAACAAAACAGTCAATAGCAATTATTGACAAGTATGTGGAAAAATTGGAACCCTCATCCATTGCTGGTGAGAATGTATAATGGTACAGCTTCTGGTGTAGACCGTTTGGAAGTTTCTTGAAAAGTTAGAATCCTGTGACCCAGCATTTCCATTCCTGGATAAAAATACTCAAAAGAATTGAAAATAGAGACCACAAATGTTCACTGTAGTATTATTCACAATAGCCAAAACGTAGAGACAACCCATGTGTCCATCACCAGGTACAATGGATAAGCCAAATATGGTAAACACCTATGGGGAATATTATGAAATGACGTTCCGCCATTGCTGTTGCATGAATGAGCCTTAACATGCAGAGTGAATGAACTCAGACACACAACGTGTTCACACTTAAATGAAGGATGGAGAAGAGGAGAATGCATAGGCCCAGAAGGAAACCTGTGGTTACCAGGAGCTAGTGGGAAGGAGAAACATGCAGTTGACTGCTGGAGGGATACTGAATGTGTTGCTTGGGGTGATGAAAATTTTGGAAATACACCGGTGATCGTCACACAACAACATGAATGTAATGAAGGTCCCAGGATTGTATGACTGAAATAGCAAATGTATTCTGTGTGTGTGTTTTACATATATTTTGCTATGTAGATTGGCAATAATAAAATCGGACACAACAGTACAACCCTCTTCAGTCCGAGGCTCTGGTCTGACAATTCTGAGAGTGTTTTACTTTCTCAAACAAGCTTCTTGTTCTTTGGGCTCTCTGTTCTTTGGATCCTAGCTGTGTGCCACTTTCTTGCTGCCTGTGGCCTTGCATAGTTAAGAGCCTTGCAAGGGTTCTCTTCTGCACCTGTATAACCAGGATGGTACTAGTATGTGCACCTCAGATACCAGTTCTCATTAGAACTGCTGTCTGAGACCAGACTAGACCAGACAAGCCACATGAAGGGTTTTGCAGAGTCCTGAGCAGGTAGCCCACAGAAACATTAGCTCTTAACCCCAGCCCTCCCGGAAAGAGACAGATACAGGCTGTTTCCCTTCACCTCTCAGAGTGCTCACTCTCAGGTCATCCCATGGTTTCAGGTGCCCACGGCAGACCAGGCTCAGCACCTCCAGCTGTTCCAGAGGCACAAAAGGTGTTTTCTGAAGAACCAGATAGTAAACACCTTACGCTTTAGGCCTGAAGGGGCCGCTCATATAGTCTCTGTTAAGCACTATCTGAGTGCTTTGCTTATTTCCTTTTTCAAATAACCTTTTAAAACTAAAAACTATTGAGCTTGAGGACCCTACAAAAGCATGATGCAGGCTGCGGTAGCTAACCTTTGTTTCCCTCTGGCCTGTGCTCTTAACTGCCCAGTCTCCACTCCTGGGGTGGTTTGTCTCATCTTTTCGATCAGAGATGATGGTTATAAAGCAATGCATTTTCATTTTGAAAACACATCCCAAGTTCAGGACAGCAGTCTCTCTCCTCCCCACCCCACAATCCCACAGACTTTCTGTCCCAGGGCACTTCTGCAGGTCCATGCCTGAGTCCAACACAGGGTACTCAAAGGAATCCAACTAGTGCCAGCTGACAACTATTCCAACTTGAATAAGCCCTACATCCATCATAGTACCCCCGTAAATTATGATTTCAATTTGAAATTCCTGCAGTTTTACACCATCAGGTCTCATGTCTGGAGCAGTCATGTTTTATGAAAATAGCATCTGTTACTGTGAAGTGAGTGAGCCATAATGAACATGAGCATGCACTTGTTCTCAGCAAAAAGGAGCCAGAGTGCAGACACTTTTAATATAATGGAATGGCTATATTAAATTTCAAGTGACAATGGTAACACAAATATTTAATTGCACCGCTGAAATGGTTGCTTATAAAATTGCCAGGGAAAGCATGCCAGTTCACCATTCTTGAAGCAGACTCATTCCCCACAGTGCTAGGAACCATTGTTGGCCTTAAATAAACTGCTTACTGGGTGGCCAAAAGATTGCATAAGTTAACTGCTCTCACCAGGTATTCTCTCTCATGTAAGGAGCCCAAGTGGTGCAGTGGTTAAGCGCTCGGCTGCTAACCCAAAGATTGGAAGCCACCGCCGCTCCACGGAAGAAAGCTGTGGGAGTCTGCTTCCTTTAGAGACGGCAGTCTTCCTTGGGCACCCTGTGGCAGGCACAGTTCTACTCTGTTCTATAGTCACCGTGAGTCCGATGGACTGAGGGCAGCGGGTTGGGGCTCTGGCTTGGACGCGGACGTCCGTCCATGGCAGGAGCTGGCTGGCATATGCTCACTTCTCTGTTGGGAGGGGGAAGGGGTGTCTGAACTGGCTGCTTCCTGACTGCAGTTTTGCTGATGGAGTGGCTTCCTTTTTCTGACCCTAGGAGAGTCCCAGTGATGGAAATGATGGCATTTTGGGTGAAAAGAAGGAGGACAGCCGGGCAGGTGAGACTGTGTCCTTCTGACGGCAAAGAAAAGTAAGGTCCCGGTGTGTGGCTGTCCTGGAGTTCCTGTGTACAAAAAGGCTTTGTTTTGAGAGGTGCTTTGAAAAAGCCAAATAAGTAGCTCCTCTCTGCAAAGTGGGTTAATTTGTAATGTCAGGATGCAATCTGAGGGATCAAAGGAATTTTTTTTAAATCATTTTATTGGGGGCTCTTATAGCTCTTTCAACAATCCATACATCAGTTGCATCAACACATTTGTACATGATGTTGCCATCATCATTTCTGAAACATTTTCTTTCTACTTGAGCCCTTGATACCAGCTCCTCTTTTTTCCCTATCCTCCCACCCTCGTGAACCCTTGATAATTTATAAATTATTTTTATTTTCATATCATACACCATGTCCACTGTCTCCCTTCACGCACCTCTCTGTTGTTCACCCCCTGACTGGCGGGGGAGGTGGGGATGTTCTTGGGCATTGATGATTGCAATCGCTTTCCCCTTCTCCCTACCCTCGTGACTCATTATCGCCACTCATTATTGGTCCTAAGGGGTTTATCTGCCCTGGATTCTGTATGTTGAGAGCTCTTATCAGTGTACATGCTCTGGTCTAGCCAGAGTTGTAAGATAGAACTGGGGTCATGATGGTGGGGGGAGGAACCATTAAAGAACTAGAGGAATGTTGTGGTGTTTCATCGGTGCCACACTGCACCCTGACTGATTTGTCCCTTCCTTGTGACCTTTCTGTGAGAGAATTTTATGGTTGTTGTTGTTGTTGTTTTCCCCCTTTTTGGTGGGAAATACCTTTCCCCACCCCCCATCCCCAATGGAATTGTCATGGAGGCTTTGACAGTGGGAGGGGCCAGCCTCTCAGAAGTCCCCAGTTCTGTACAGGGACATCAGCAAGGGACTGTTCTGCCATGCTGTGTGTCAGAGCAGGGTTCGCAGGCCAGTCCTGCCCTCCCATATGTGGGTGTTGGCCACAACATACAGCTGTCCCTGAAGCAAAAGGGTCAGCCTGCCAGCTCTGCCCGGTCTCAGAACCAGTTATCCCGCAGTCACTACCAAGTCAGCTCCGTTCTTATTTAAACAAAACATGACCAAATAAAACCAGGCACCCCTGTTTCCATTCTGTTTGTAAATACTAATATCCTCACTGATGTTTGAAGCCCAGGATGGCTCTGACCCAGACAAATCGCCCTGGCCAGTTTCCTCTGCACTCACAGCTCGTCTCAGACGCCTGGTCACTGTCTACCAACGCTGCAACCGCAAAGAGACCTGCCGGCCCGAAGCCCTGGGACCAGGTAATCCAGGATACTGGGTCCAGGAAGAGATGTTCAGGAGGACCTCAGAAATGGACCTCATCAACAAAGAAACCCAAAAGAGGTAAATGCCCTTAGGGCTGCTGTAGTGTCTGTGCGCACATGTGTGTCTCTTGTAGCGCATGTTTTGCATGTCCTTTCTGGCACCAGCAGTTCTTCTGACCCTAACCACAGGTCTCCCACATGAAAGACTACCAAGTCTTCCTCAGACTGTAGATGCCAGCTACAAAACCCCTCAGATACTAGCTAGAGGCCAGAACCACCAAAACCCACAGAAGCCAAGCACTTAACCTCTGTTCTTCCAGGACCCCTCTGTTGGCTATCAATTGTGGGACTCCTACTGACTCCTGGTTTCCTTAGAAGGACTCACGTGATATTTATTACAGTAGCCAAAAAGGTACAAATAAGAGACACACAGGGTCAGATTTGGAAAGGTTCCCAAAGGGGAACATCTATAGCCAAGGGATATGGCAGCCCACAATGCCAGCTGGTAATGGTGGCAAAAGACAGAGAGTTGGTACCTGGCAGGTGATTGTATTTGTGCTGTTGTGTGATGTTTGTCTCCAAAATTAATGAAATCCAAATGCCCCAGTGTGATCAGAAGGTGCTCATGGCACTGTTTTAGTTTCTGATTCGCAGGCTGCTGTGATTGTCCACCCCGACGCTCTTCCCAAGCGTGAACCCCATGTATGGGGATGTGCTCTAAGAACACCACCGCGATATTTCTCAAACTTCTTGGAACTCCCTGTACTCATTGCCTTCTAGTTGCCTTCAACTCATAATAACTCTGTGGGACAGAGCTGAAGTGCCCCGCAGTGTCTCCAAGCCTGTTTAAGGAAATAGGCTGCCAGGTTTTTCTTCCACCGAAAAGTTAGTGCTCAAACTCCTTAGAAAGCCTGTGGGTGGAAGATAGTAGTCCTTGCATCATTATCTTAGTCCTACACCCTATAAAGCCTAAAGATCTTAGTGGCCCATACTGAGACCATTGATAGAGGCCACCTATCTACGTAAACAACAAAACCTACTGTCATCAAATCAAGTCAGACTCATAGTGAGCCCTATGTAGGGTTATTGAGGTTGTCAATCTTACAAGAGCAGACAGTCTCCTCTTTCCCCAATGAAGCTGCTGGTGGGTTTGAACCTTGACCTTAAGCTTAGCTGCCCAGCACCTAGCATGAAAATAGAATCAGATCTGAGGCAGTCCCTTCTCTTCTCTGAACCACTTTTTTCATCGGTGGCATGAAGATGTTGAGTGTAGTAGTCTGGGAAGCCCTCACAGAATCCATCGCTCTGTGTCACACGGGGGAGGACATGAAGCAGCGACTGACACCTGTGACTGATGAGAGCCAACAGCCCGGCTTTCCTGCCCTGCGGGTTTTTCTGCGTGCAGCAGGGTGCAGGCCTGCTGTTTTCTGTTGTTAATTTTCATGGAAAATGTTTGTGTTTTCCTGCTTTGACAAGTTACATCTTTCAAAGGTCTTATCTTTTAAATCGCTAACTAACATAAGAGGAGATGAAATAGGTCTTCCCTAAAATTGATGCACATTTGCACACCTGATTTAGAAATTGTGAAGCAAATGCCCAAGGAAAGAGGTGGAAGATTAGAAAGTGACAGCTTTATTGCAAGTCAGCTAATAGACTTGTTTAAATTTTTCTTTTTTTTTTCTGTAGGCTTATTTTCATTGTAGGCCTCTCAGCACAATTTAACTTAAACATAATGTGTGAAGCAGTAGATAAGCCCTGTCCACTACGTTGACTCTAAGGACTCTCATAGTAAGCGCAGAAAGTTGGGTTTTTATTTTTTTACAAGAAAGACAAGAGCTCACTCGTTTGCCCCTTTCTGGTTTAATCTCCAGGTGGACTAGGCGAGAACAGGCCGACTTCTACAGGGCAGTGTCTTCCTTTGGTGTTGTCTTTGACCAAGAAAAGAAAACCTTTGACTGGACCCAATTCCGTGTCATTTCCCGCTTGGACAAGAAGTCGGATGAGAGCTTAGAACACTATTTTTATAGTTTTGTGGCCATGTGCCGGAACGTCTGTCGACTGCCTGCGTGGAAAGATGGCGGTGAGGAAAACTCTGTTGGTATATCACAGCTGAGACCAGGAAAGGGTGTGCTCAGTTAGAGAGACAGTCACCTTAGGTACTCTAGGTGCTACTGTAGGCATGGAATGTACCTGAGGAATTCAGGTAAGTCAGTTAGGTGTTTAGAAATGTGTGAGCTGCTGTGGGAGACCGTTCTCATCATGCAGTTAAGTCTCTTTCTCAGGAGGGTGAAATTCCAACCAATTGGAAATCCACATTACAAGTTCTCAGTATTATTTTTATTAATTGTTTTTGTTGTCAGGTGTCATCCAATTGATTCCACCCCATAGCGACCCTCTGTACAGCAGAACAAAATGCTGCCTGGTCCTGCACCATCCTCACAGTTCTTGCAGCCACCGTGTCAGGTCATCTTGTCCAAGTCCTTCCTCTTCTTTTTGCTGCCCCTCCACTTTACCAAGCATGATGCCCTTTAGACATGTCTGATGGAGAACACTTCTGAGAAATACCTCTTGGGCTTGTTCCAAGTTCTCTTGTGCTCTCGCTCGCTCTCTCTTTCTCTCTCTCTCCCCCTCCCAAGTTCTCTCCCCACCCCAAGTTCTCTCTCTCACTCCCTCCCTCCTCATCTGTACATGAGCTTACCCTGGATCGTGTGAGCATGTTTTAGGAACATGCAAACACTAAGCCTGGCTATAATGGGAAGCTGCAGAACTTGTACTCCTGACAAGACCTAGCTGGTCTCCAATCCTGGTTCTGCCACATTGACAGATTACCTTACTGAGCCTGCGGCCTCAGCCTTAAAACAGAGACACAGATGGTATCTAATTGTTGTGTGAATTAAAGAACTTACAAGAGAGCTTCCAAAAGTTTGTGGAGTAATTCCCATTTTCTTTTAATTCCACTGTTCCACAGACCTCATTAAGACCCCTCCCATGTAAAGTTCCTAGAGTAGAGGGTACAGGATACATGCATATTAAATCGGAACCAGAGTTTTCATGCCCCTCGTCCAGCCTCGTGGCATCTGTCCTAGTTTCTTAGGATATGTACATTCCCCGTTAGCTTTTTGCAGGTGCGCACACACCTGAGGCTGTCAGGTAGTTCAACCTGAGATGTAGCAAGAGTCTCCGAGGGCCTTGACTGAGGAGCTGTTTCTGTTTGCCTTCTTTCTCCAGGGCCCCCAGACCCCGCCATCTACATCGAACCCATCACTGAGGAGCGGGCCGCCCGGACTCTGTACCGCATCGAGCTCTTACGGAAGGTCCGAGAGCAGGTGCTGAAATGCCCTCAGCTGCACGAGCGCCTGCAGCTGTGCAGGCCCAGCCTCTACCTCCCTGTCTGGTGGGAATGTGGGAAGCACGACCGGGACCTGCTCATTGGCACTGCCAAGCACGGACTGAACCGCACTGACTATTACATCATGAATGATCCCCAGCTGACCTTCCTGGATGCCTACCGGAACTATGCCCAGCACAAGAGGACCGACATCCAGGCCCCAGATAGTCTCTGCTGCCTTTACCAGACCAACTCCAAACTGTACGACTCCCTTGCCTATTCTCAGCTGGGGAGGACTTCGGAGTCCCTGGTGCATGAGCCTGAGAATCTGGTGAAAGCGGAGAGCAGAGAGGATCCTCCAGCTCCACCCCAGGACAGCTTACCCGACATCACGTGTGATAGCTTCCTCTCCAGAGTGCAGGACGTCCTCTCCATCCACCACGATGAGAGTGTGCTGCCTGAGCCCTTGGAGAGCACGTCGTATGGGAAGAAGGGGCTCGGCCAGGTGCCCAGCTCTGCTCAGGAAAGCCCGGTCCGTGGCAGGGCCGAGGCTAGGAGAGACACAATGGCCCTCTCAGCAAGCCTAGAAGGGGACTGTCAGTCCAGAGACTGCGAGACAGAAAGGGCTTCAGCTCCATCTTTCCTGGGTCTCCTAGAAGCAGGAGTAGCTCAGATGAACCATAAGAATGGGAAGCATTTGCTGATGTCTCTCTCCAAGGCCGGTGAACTCTGCTGCAGTGAAGCAAGGCGGAGACCTGAAGACTTTGGGCATCTAGAAGCCAAATGCATGTCCTCTCCTTCCTTGGATCAAGGAAATGAAAGTGGGTTTGTGGATATGTGTAACCTCAGCATCTGTAATTCTAAAACGAGCCTGTCGGCAGACCAGCAACTCATCGACTTATTAGAAAATAAGAGTTTAGACAGTAAATTGATCCTGGGTCAGAGCCACAGTGACGAGGAGGAGGAAGAAGAGGAGGAGGAAGAAAACTTAGACCTAGCAGCAGGTTTAAGGAAGCAGCCAGAGCTTTTGCACCTAATGGAGCCCACTCTGACTATCTCCAGGGCACAGAGTCGGGGCTTCCAGGCAGGCGACCCCAAAATGGACAGCCTGGAGGAGGTGAGCCCGGCCCACCAGCCACAGAGGGCTTTCTCTGTAGCAACCTGTCAGTGCCACTGCAAGCACATGGAGAGGTGGAAGGCGGCGTGCATTGAGACCGAGGACCTTGAAGTGGAGAAGTCCCCGGGTTATGACCTAGATCTATATAAAAGTACAGCCAGTAGTATGCCAGTGGACACTGAGCCAGCTGCTAGTCCATCAGAGCCATTTAAAGGGAGATCTGAGCTGGTAAAAGAGCCCTGGAAGGAAAGTGCAGAAGGGACAAAAGGCTTCCCCACCTTCCCTCTCGAAGGCAGTGAACTGAAGCCAGAGGACACGGATTTTGAGACTAAAGAGGATTATGACCGAGAGAGACATGGCCACAGTCAAGGTACAGTGTGTGGCGGTTGGGTAGGCAGGTGTTATCTGGACAGAGGGTTTTTTTTTTCTGTTTTATATATATTTTTTAATTGTTTTATTAGGGGCTCATACAGCTCTTACACAATCCATACTTACATCAACTGTGTAAAGCACATTTGTACATTCATTGCCCTCATCATTCTCAAAACATTTGCTCTCCACCTAAGCCCCTGGCATCAGGGGCTCATACAGCTCTTACACAATCCATACTTACATCAACTGTGTAAAGCACATTTGTACATTCATTGCCCTCATCATTCTCAAAACATCCGCACTCCACCCAAGCCCCTAGCATCAGCTCCTCATTTTTCCACTCCCCCACTCCCCGCACTCTCATGAACCCTTGGTAATTTATAAATTATTATTTTGTCGTATCTTCCACTGTCTGGCATCTCCCTTCACCCACTTTTCTGTTGTCCATCCCCCAGGGAGGAGGCCATATGTAGATCCTTGTAATCAGTTCCCCCTTTGCAACCCACTCTCCTTCCACCCTCCCAGTATCTCCACTCACACCACTGGTCCTGAAGGGATCATCCGCCCTGGATTCCCTGTGTTTCCAGTTCCTATCTGTACCA